TTTTAGTGGTTTTTTAATCTAAATAATAGTTTTATAGGAACTTTATGAAGATTCACATAATCCGATGAATTTGATAAATTGAGAGAATAACAAAGGCTACGGAATAAGGGGATTAATAAACATGTCAATAAATTTGTAATACACGAAAAGACACAAGAAAAAAACAACGGCATTTCAAAATGACTCAGAGGTTGTAAAAAAGCAAAATGTTGGCTTATAGTAGACAATAGACTGCCTGTAACATCAGAGGTGTCTCAAGTACATTGTTTGTTTGTACAACTACAATTTTTAATAAATAATTCAATAAGTCCCAAGTACTTGTATAAGAAACATCAATACACTGATCTATAAACAATAACGCATCTTAAGGATTAGCAACTAACTCGTTATTCCATATCCCATGTAAGTTATTTAATAATTACCAACCTATAGAATTATCGATTCATAAACAGTAATTAACTCAATTCAGTTTGCTAACAATTAAGACCGTGTTATCTGATACATAATGTTCAAATTATTTAGTGTTTCAATCTGTAATTAATGGACGATGATAATTTATGTTCGATATTTGGATCACATTATGATCATATAACTAATATAGTACCTAATGATGAAAATGATAATTTTGATAAACTAAAGTTTGTCTTGAAAACAATAAGAAAAGAATATAAACGCTTAGTAGGAATAGTATTTAGAATGTAGATTAAAATATCAAGCATTAAAATGACTAAACTTTTATTTATTCAAACATTGTTAATATATTTTTCTTTGAACACGATCTCGGCTTGTATGCCTTTGTGTGACCTAATGCAACATGTCTCCAGTAGAAACTGCCCCCAGCAGAATTCTTTATCGCATCGGGTCATCTTGTCGGTGCTCTTCCTCTAGCGCGATTTCCTTCCATTTGCTCCGTTATGCTTCTCCGAATTGTACTATTGGGAATGTATAATATGCCTGAAGAAACCAACTGCTTTTTCGTGCCAAATTGAGATATCAAGTTCTTTTGGAATGGAGGTTTTAAAAACAACTTTTGGATATATGGAATTTGTTATATTAGATAAATCTTAGTTTTATTAACAAACATGTTAAATCGTAAAAATTATATATATCTATATTTCCATACCCATATTATAATTGCGATACTACTCGTATGTTTGTCCGTCTGTTTGATGCTCAGTTACAAATAAACAATTGAACGGTTCGTAATGAAATTTGACATGAAGATGGATTAGACGTCTTTAATCTAGAAAACAGACAAAGTCGCGAGTAATATTGGAATAAATATATTAATAATATTAAAATCTAGATATATAAGTATATTATACAATAGGATAGTTTTAAAATTTGATACATGATGACACTTCTAGTGTTAAAGTGTAGTACCTTCCTTAATTGTCTGGACAATTCTCCTGGTGTTTTTTACCTGAGCCGCGCAAATTGCGCCGATAAGAAGTTTCGAAGGGAACTTTATTAGATATTTTAATCGGTGGTCCCAAGTTCTGTACCGTCTGACGTAGAAATATGATTTCAATCCCTGTGTAAATACTGCATGAAAATTTTTTTATAGTATGAAATGATTTAGTTTTTTCATATAAGTTACATCTTCATTGCTTGAGTTTTATTATTGGGGACTATTGCTATGTTGTCTTTATATTTCTTTGATAGTTCATTATTACGATAGATACGGAGTACACTTAACAGATAGAAAAAAATAAGTGCTATCAGATCGTTCAATTTCATAATTCCTCAACGTCATTTCTAATTTATAACAAGTCTGCATGAGTTTTCTTTTATACTTTACAGTTTGTAAATCGTATGTCTGTTTCATCCTTATATCATAATCCAATAGACAGATATCTACATATCTATATTATATATTACACGCATAATTAACGAGGTGTCGTTGAATTTTATACTTATTTATTCAAGCGTGTTGATAGATCCTATTGCAGTTACATGTAGTTACAATGTAACCACATGAATTGCGATTAATTACTATTGGTTTCTTCTGAAGATAGAATAGCATTGAATAAATATTTATTATTGGAAATCTAATTTTAATTATTTTTCTTTTTTATTCTACAACATAAAATATTCGGAATACAAATTCAGTCATGAAGAATTGGCAACTAATTGGATGGTGCAGTTTCAAATAAAAATCATGCAATTTTACCAGTTTGTGATTCTATATAATACAAACAACCAAACAGCAAAATAATAATAATTATATTTTTTTATAATCTTAGGTTGTGTTACATAGTTAAATTGTATATAACAGTGAAAATACACTTAAAAATATAATAATAATCTCAGGACAATTCACACAGCGCCATCTAGTCTCAAGTTAAGCTAGATGAAACTTGTGTTATGGGTACTATTTAAAAAAATATATGGGTACTAGTCAACTGATAAATATACTTAGATTTTTTTGTAAATACATACATATTATACATAGAAAACACCCAGACCGATACACAGTGCCATATAAACATCCAAATTAAGCTACCTAAATCTTGTGTTATGGGTACTAGACAACTGATACAAATACATAGATATGTTTTTTTTTTCGTAAATACATACTTATTATACATAGAAAACACCCAGACCGTTACAAACAATCATACTCATGAATACAAATGTTTGTGCCGTGCGAGGAATCGAACCCGCGACCATCGGTCGTAAAGCGGTGTGCTAGACCGCTAGACCACCGAGGTCGTCAAAAGATACAGTTATAATTGTGTTACAGGTATCGTATACTTTCCCAGGGTGCATTATTTTTTATTTATTAACATTTGTAAAATATTATTTATATTATGTGAAATAAACATATAAGTTTACAACAATACTACGTAAAAACAAATTTCAAATATTTTAATCATAGTCGGTTTTTTACATGTTCATATAAATAATTTTTGTGTCCAAAGAAATTCTTCTTTTATTTAATATTAAATGCGCTCATTATTTGGGCTAGTTGTGAAGAAATAAAATAGACTTTTACTACGACGACCAAAAGCAAGCATGCCGCAAATTGTCAGACCGCAACAGCTTTGTTCAGGTCAAGGGCTGGTCTAAAACATAAGTTGAAAGCGTTATTGGTGTTGAGTAATCGAACTCCATTTTACTTGTTGGTGATCAACTTTCAAAATAATATTGGTGGATTTTCTTAAATATATTTCTGGCCTAGTCGCCGTTGAATGCTAACGTAGCATTGCGACCTCGGCATCGGCGCCATGTATTTTATAAGCATGTAAGAATCCGAAATACCCAATCCATCTCTGTGATAGGGTATTGTCATTGTCAAAAAAATTCTCGAGCCAGTATAAGTAAATTAGCTCAAATTTAGAAATTATGCGTTTTTATGGAACTTAAATACCAAACAAGATGAAAACCCACTTGATATTGTAGCTAGACCGACTCTAGCTTATAATTTTTAGATTTTTAAACGTGGTATTTTTAAAGCGGTGTTAATACAGTACACTATTTAAAAGATTTTATTTTTGCATTTGTTATCAATGAACTCAAAACAGTTTAAGCTATTTTAAACATTTTAACAAAGACTACATTTGGCGTGAAAACTGCGGGTTACAGATAGTGTATCATTTACCAAACTCCCGCTGCCTGATATGCCTTGTGCCATCACAAAGTAAAGCAAATTTAAACAACAGCACGGAGCAACGAAAGTTTGTACCATTTCGTAGCGGTGACACAGCCATTGTGCTTGTTTATTCGCGCTTGTCTGCAGTAAGTGCATTTTATCACAGTTTAAATACTATTAGGTAGTTACATGTCTGCTACTTTGATCATGTAAGATGCTTGTAAGAGGGAAGAGATTCTTAATCATGTGACTTAATGGCTTAGTTAATTTCCAATGTCTTTAGTGCATATTGGAAATATAAGTACAAAAAGAACATTATATCGCTTAAAGCAATCTCTTATAGTCAACTTGGTAGATAGAAGTTTTGAAGGTCAAGTCAAAGTAACTCAGGTCATCTTCCACGCAATTTCCTCTAGACTTAATACCTTTGGTGCGGTTGACGGTACGTAGTGACGGTTATCACTTTCCATTAGATGAACCGTCAGTTCGCTTATCATTTCAGTCACATAAAAACCCGTTCATACCCGACAAAATTCTGGACAATTTTTTAATTTCGCTCCCAGAAAATTCGTCAAAGCCGAGACAATAGACTGAAAAATGCAATTATAAAGCCGTACAAAGTCAAACTAAAACCCATTTGGTCACGCAAAAGTTCCGAGCCGGGTGCCCGCATAAACTTGTGAATAGAGTCGTTAAATCCTATTATATTATACGTACTACCTATATAATACAAACTTGTTCTGATTTATTCTAATAGTTGGCAATTGCGGAATTAATGGGTTTCACAGTAGGTTCCGGACATTTTCAGAGTGTGGTCGAAGTATATTACATTGTCTTGAGACTCTTTTGATAGCAGTCAATACTGATCCTTAGTATTACCAGCTTCTTACACATGTATTACGCAGTCGTCATGTTGAGGCTGTCCACCGCGCGATAATGAATCTGTTGCGCATTTTCTTTGAGCGGGAAAATAAAATAAACTACCAAACTTCTTGTGCAGACAGGGTTTTATATTAATCAATGGTGGACAATTTAATAGAAATTGATTTTGAGGGTTTGAATTACTATACCTATTAGCGTCATCCATAAAAACCGTTCTAATCTCCTCTCCTTTTTATTCTTATACGTCAGTCGTTTAAGTATAATGTAATAATAACCATTATCTTTATTAGTTAATAAAACACTTTTACATTTACGAATGGCGAACCACACTCTAGACATGCAAGTCAAAAATAAGAGGATACCTTTAGACGTATTGATATGTTAGGTGCTCGATTGACTTAAATGAAGTGACTTCACAAATCACTTAGTATACAATGTATGGTTATAAAAACAGCTCTCTTCCCCTCTGTTACGCTTATACAATAGTCAAGAACTATGTTTAAACTAATTATATTGTTTCCAGGTGAACAAGCAATTCGGTCTAGATATGCGAGGCTAATCGTTCTAATGCCCCCTCAACCACCGAAGATACTTCAAGGTCCGATTCTTGAGTCTATTGAAGATAGAGAAGTCAATTTGGAGTGTGTATCTGTGGGCGGCAAACCAGCAGCTGAGGTAAATCAATTTACATTATGTTTGGGGACCAAAGAACATCTTACCAGTTCTGACTGTTATGCTATTGATTTAATGATATTTTCTATATTTCTCACTGTATTCATCTTAAAATAAAATCATTATTTCTATTACAAATATAAAATCAGATTATAAATATTCTTTTACACTAAGTCCTTTGAATTTTTTTAATAGTTGAGTTTCGTATCATACCTTCTCTACTGTATTTTTAATTGCCGATATATTTAACGTCCATTTAAATATTGATACTAATATCTATAATTGAATAAGTTGTTATGTAAATAGTTGCTAAACCACACGTTTTAGAATAAATTAATAAAAATAAATATAGAAATAAAAAAATGTCCAAGAATATTGTCATCAGCAAAGGCCGTCATATATTTTTTATACCATGTCTTTTCAATCTTATAGATCACATGGGTAGACAACGATGGTGGTGTTTTAACTCAAGGGGTTACTTACACCATAGAGCCAATGTCTGATGGCAGGAGGTATACAGCAAGGTCAGTTATCACTATTAATTCATTTGTTTATTTGCATTTTATCATGTCTTAATTTTTATATTGGTTACCTTTACCAAACCTTTTTATAAATTAATCTAAATATATATAACTCAAAGGTGACTGACATAGTGATCTATCAAAGCACATCCCAAACCACTGGACGGATCGGATTGAAATTTGGGATGCAGGTAGATGTAATTAATTCTTAAAGGATTTTGATTAATTCTACCCCCAAAGGGATAAAATAGGGGATGAAAGTTTGTATGAAACTTTGTCAATTTTAAATCGATCGGCCTGAGACTTTGCATGTATAAAGCATAAAATGGCATCCCCTAAGAAAGGATTTTGATAAATTCTACCCCTAAGGGGATAAAAATCGAGAGCGAAGCTGCGGACAAAAGCTAGTGGGTAATAAATGAGTGAAAACTATATTAAGTACAATACATACACAAAATAAAGTTTATAAATAATTTATCCCAGACAAATTATTTGCCTTTTTAAATGATATAAATGAAATGAAATTATTTATTTCCGAAATATTCGTACAATTTGTTAATAAGCAGAACGTAATTATTTGATCAACACTATTTACTATTAAATGCATGCAAATTATACAAAGGTATTAAATTTTAAATAATCTTTTATTGCATTATTTGTGGTCGTCGATATAATGGTAGATATAATTTTCTCTATGTACTTGAAATGGCAAATAGCCGACTTGATGGTAACTGGTGACTGTAGCTTATATATGCTCTTTCTAAACAGTTTAATAGTATTTATTGTCTCTAATTTCTAAACTATAAAGAGCTGTTTACAGTCTAGTATGATTATTTGCAAAGGTGGAAATCTTGTTTACTAAAATACTACTGTATAGTTACGTATTTAACATACAAAATTGTATAAAAATTCTGGAATTTGTGACTATTTTTCTATTAAATAAAACTAAATATGAAAATCAAAAATTACAGCGATTTGTCACTTTTTTTAATTGTAGTAAGTAGCTTGAAATAAAATAGAATATACAATATACTGTTTTAATTTAAAAAAAGCTAAAGGTCCATCAACAATTACAGCGATTTGTCACTTTCTTTCAATTGTACGAAATTGCGTGAAAGAAAAGAAAGAAGCAGTGCTATAACCGAAATAGATTTATAGCGATTTTAATAGCAGACATATGAATTTTGGGCATTACATCAAAAGTATAGAACGAATTGATGTAAAACAGGAAAGAAGGCTCATAACACTCATAATAATATCTGAAGTTACATGTTTAACGACAATTAGGGTGAGTGTTCACTGTATGCTCAGATGCGACAGGCGCTCACTGTATGCGACAGATAAAAATAAGTATTACACTATTAAAACAGGATAGGATATATTATATATTACATGTTATAATACTAATATAACCACATAAAGTAAGGTGCGTAATGTGTCTAAATTTTAAGTGCAATTTTCTGGAAACCATTTTTCTTTATTCAATGCAATAATTGCACTAAGAATGAAGCTGTATAGATCAGTTGCAGACAATATAGAAAGTAGTAAAGCGAACAAATAACAGGATTTGAACAAAAACAACACCAAAAGAACAACTTATACAAATGCTCACGAACCATATAATATTGAAGAATATACTTAATTATGTATTTACTTTAAACATCCTAATAAATAATTAATAAGGAAGGAGAGAGAGTGAGAGAGATAGAGAGAGATCTGACTTAAACCAATAAATAGGGGAGGAACGAAGTCAGGTGAAGCTAGTTGCTTGCTCTAATAATATTTACTTTTCAGGTCAGTTCTTCATTTTCGTCCAAGAAGACATCACCACAATCAAACGATCACATGTCAAGCACAAAACACGGCTGATAGGGCTTACAGAGCAACTACGATTAGATTACAGGTCAGTCAATATGTTTTTTCGTGTGGAAACATAAAATTGTGTTATGTATGAATATAATAAACATGAAAATACACCCAAGGGAAGCAGAACTTGTGTTATGGGTACTAGACAAACATAGATACATTTCTTCCGTAAATACATACATAAAACACATAGAAAACATATAGACCAATACAAATAATCATATTCATTAATACAAAGGTTTGTACCGTGCGAGGATTCAAACCCGCGATCATTGGAAGTAAAGCGGTATGCTAAACCGCTAGACCACCAAGACCGTCTATAGATAGAATATGAAATGATGAATCCACTAAACATATACACAGGTGAAAAATTAGTGGAAGTGGATGATGAATGGGGATGATGAAGTATACCCATCATGACAAATTTATCCAAAATAGACAGAGTTTGTTTTCGGGGAGTACTAATAAATAAAATAACATATACTATAACTTACGTTTAATTCTTCTGATAATAACGCTACTTTCATACTTTGATGAATTCATTCTTATCTTGTGTATCCTTGTAACATCACACTATTGACCCTATCTGATAAAATATTATCAGACAATACACACTAATTCCTGCACTATATGTAGTGACACACTGTCCAACGAATGAAGCGATGGTACTTTACAATAAAGAGCTTAAATTATTCAATATATAAAGATATTTTACCAAATAATTAAAGTCACTGCTATTAGAGAATAGCCTGTATTGAATTGACGATTTTTAAAAAAATTCTACTATCAATAACATGCTTTATGAAAAGTAGAAAATATATACTTAATATCAACATTCAACACACATTATACATTGCTCATAAATAAATAAGTAAGAGACTACAATATATTAGCTCCACTGGTGGATAATAAGATGAGAATGATGTCCGGTCAGACAGTGTGAATTGAATTTAGAAATTAATTCACAAAATTATTATGAGTTCATTTCTAAATTAAATTCACCAGAGTACAATGCTTGCCAGGGGGACCATGTGGAGGTAGAGATGCATGGTATATTGGTAAAGGGGTCACTAGCACCCATTACAAACAATCCCCTTCTCTTATTATAAGACACATTTGAAAGCTGAATTAAGATATACCAGTCTAACAATATTATCATTTAACACGACGGTCGATGGCACAATTTCCGATGTACTATCAAAGTTGCCGGTTATAACTGCCACTTTATTTCCATAACGAACATTTTAGCCTCGCGAAAAATGAGATAATTTGATACGACGATTAAACCGACGTTATTTAAGATTTTATGGGGAAAGTTCCCCTGGCCGGCTATTTAGCTTGCATAATTTTTGTATTAAAGGTATATAGGTTACTGGGAAAAAGTGTCGAGCTTTCAGAGCCTTACATAAGCACTTATTAAGTAGTCAAATGCTCGGAACCAACTTTGAGGTCGGAGTACTTAACAAGTTACGAATTACGGAGATGTATTTGATAATTTTTAAAATATGTGAGTCTGGTTTTGGCAGTCGCAGATAATAATAATATCTCATGCCACCAAAACATTATTTTCTGATTATATGCATATTATTGTAAAGTTTTTACAAATCCTGTTTAGTAGTTTTTGCATGAAAGAGTAACAAACATCCATCAATACTCACAAACTTTCGCATTTAAAATATTAGTAACATATTATGCTTTATATTATGCCATTAACGAAAATAAAAGTTTTATATATCGATCTATCCAATTCAATATTCATAGTTAAAACGTCTGTCGGGTCAGCTATTTGAGAATGAATTGACTTCTAAAAACAACGACTTCTATTATATTCCTTTACTCTTTATATATAATATTATACAATAATCCTATTCTATAAAACAATGTACATAAACTAAAACAAAGTGAATAGCCATTTTCCTTATTAATTCCGGATGTACGGCAAGAGGAAATTCCGGGAACATCATTGGTCACCCTACCGAGGATTTCTTTTTATGATAACGATATTATTTCCCGACGAGGCACGAATACCAACTATATTACTGTGAAACCAATGCAATGAGGAGGTCGAGGCTTACAGTTGAATACCAAAATGGAAAGTTGAATATTTTACCGCCAGTCAGAGGTAACAAATCCGGTTTACAGGACTTATTAGTTGCTCTACTTACTGACTCCAAGACTAGACGAGTAATTGGTTTGCGCTATAAAAGGTACGACTTTTGTAACTTATTTCTGTATCTTCAATTCTCTCTTATTTGATCTCTTTTAGGTCGTTTATGTCTTAAAATGTCTAGACACGACACGATTTGATTCCGATTTAGTTAATTTGCTGGGATGGGTTCAACTGTTAACTCAATCTGTATAGATTGTTGTAAATACTATTTATTGTGTATGTATGATATAATTTGACGGCCTCGGTGGTCTAGCGGTTTAACACACCACCTTACTTTCGCTGGTCGCGGGTTCGATTCCTCGCACGGCATAAACATTTGTATTCATGAGTATAATCGTTTGTATCCGTCTGGGTGTTTTCTACGTATAATATGTATTTACGAAATAAAAATCTATGTATTTGTTATCAGTTATCTAGTACCCATAACACAACCTTTACTTAGATTAACTTAAGTCTAAATAGAGTTGTGTCAAAAAAAAAATTATACGTTAAGTAGACGACTGTTATCGCTCACAATCAAAGGGGTGTCTGCTTGTTTGTCACTAAAATTAAATGAAAAATATTATCTAAACACTACTCCTTTGCCGCCTTTCCAGAGGTCTAAGTTTTCTTGCATCCGTATCCACTGTTAATAAAGATTTAAAGACTTTTGAGACTATACCAATGAAAGTGTGTCGTAGCAGTTACATGTGAAACTGGCCCTATAAGAAAAAATAAACGTTCCAGTTGGCACACACATAAATTACTCTATAAGCCGAGGCACCAATAAACGGATATAGAAAACGTAACGAAATAAAGCAGCAGACGGTAGAAAAAATCCCGACCGCAATTTCTGTTCTTCCTTTAGAAAATTCGCCGATTCGGCTCACTAACGCGGCTAATGTAACTTGAGCTGCGGATGTGAGCATCGTCCACAATTTGTCATACATTGCGAAGACCACGGGAGGTCTTTTATGTCTAGCCTTTGTTTTATACCGGCAAAGTGAAAATAAGGGCAGTGTAGACCTCTAATTTCGTGACGTCACTCGTTGTTCGTGTCAGCAAAACCTGTGTGTCATAAGAATTGTTTTGGAATTTTTTTCTCTTTTTAACTATGACTAGTTTCTGCCCCAGACATTATTTACGCCACTGGAGATGATTTAACTGACTACTGTAAATATGAAAGTGTACCTGTCTGTTGGTTTGTTACATAAAATCACATTTTTATTTACTTTTTAGTCATAAATTGTTATTTGTACATAGTTTTTCCTTGAAACATAATACTCCTTCATTTATTTTTATGCTTCTTACTATATCCATTTACTTTACCTTCTAGTAGATTATCTATATCATTCTTATAATTCTTATAGAAAAAACTGTTTAAATTTATTTTTCTATATTTTTTTATTCATAATTCTTGCCAAGGAAAAGTTTAAATAAATTCTTTGTACTTAATAACCTTGTATGAAGAGTTTATAGCGCATTTCACAATAGGAAGTCTCAAAGAGGTTTATCTTCACTCAAAGGCTTTGCCACTAATAGTATACGTAAGGCTTCGTCTAGACTCAAAGCTTAAACGAGACAGAATATAAATCTCTTCTTAATAGTATACTTACAGATAATAAATTCAATATTTAAGTTTGGTGTGCTTAAAATAAAATAATTCTTCAATGGATAATCACATTAAAAGATTAGTGAGTTTTTTTTATTTTTACATATGGATTTCTATCCCAGAAATACTTCGTTTGCAGAAACTTTTATCCCTTAAGGATATAAAAATAGGTAAATTAACAAGAAATAACCTATGTACCTATATTGTCAATTCTCAAAATTATTACTCAAACTTGATTGAGATTCTTTTAAGCCGTTTTGTCGAGAAAATGTAACAGATAGATACACATTTGCATTGAAAATATAGATAAATATTAGGGGTGATTATCTATTTTTTTTTATTTATTTAAACTTTATTGAATTTTGTACAATAGGTGGGCTTAATGCTAATAGCTCTACCAGCCAACCTTAGGGAGTAGCGAGACGCTCTATGGCGCTTTAGTATACTAAATAAAATTATATAATATATTACAAATAGATAATTATAAATAGCTACTGTGAAATAATGTTACATACCCTTACACGTTACATACCCCTAAGCATATCCGAACCATACATTACCCCTACACTGTGCGTTATCAGAGCATGTTGTATTAGTACCATATGACTAATAGACATATTTAAACAACATTAATTTGAAGATTTATTAATATGATGAGGACGGTACATTGACTATTTTTTATATACAAACAAGCAAAGACGCGGATAGCACAGAATGAAACCGCACCATTCGCAGAAAACAATCAGTAAAAGATTATAGATATTCGGAAAGCAAAAAGACGGGTGCTATCGAAGTTTCTAGACAGAAACTGTCTCGCGGCTTCCACGTTGTTTATTTTCCTAGGATTGTGGCTCTCGGCTTGTCTTGGAAAAATACGACGCTGGTTTCAATAGTGGTTTTATCTCGAATTTCCAGTTTGATAAATAAGTGTTGAGAACTTCTTGGATTGGTCCAGGTTTTCTTGACATTTTCTCTGTTTCTAATGTTATAGTTTGATAGTTGGCACTGAAAGTAAGAGATACAGTTTCCTAGTCTTATTCTTATTTTTAAATTTATTTACAGATATTGATAGATCAATCTTATGCGTTACTATTAGTAAAGACTTCATACCCTGTAATTACACTTCTAGGCGCTTTTTAAATGTTAATTTAAATAAGATAAGATAAAAATGCCCACGCAAATGACTTTCCAGAAAGTCTCTAAGTTCTACCAAGAGATGATAATAATGAATAAGTTAACATTTACCTGTCGTTCTTACTAATAAATAAACAATAACGTGTTCCCAAAATAAATTTAAATACAGACTTTGTGATGTAGAAATACGCCTACGCTAATCATTTGAAAAGCAAATTAATATTGAACTCCTTATTAATGCTTCATGATAAAACAACTGAAAACTGAATAATTTTCTGTAACAGGATATTTTTTTATTTTTACGTAATTGGAATAGCATGTTTGCTATCTGACGGTCCACCTGATGATAAGGGGTAAGCATTGTTTATGTACATGAACAGCATTACTAGCCCCTACGATCAATCCCCCGTTGAATTCAAAGGGGGATAGAAATTACGACGGTCTGGACCGAGGTTCGAACCCCTAGCAGTGCTCTCAACTAAAGTCGTATCCGTCAGGCGTGATTTGGCCTTCAGTTGGCCTTCGGCCGCTCCATAAGTCCTTCCGCGGATTTGGAGTGCCATTTGCACTCGCCCGGTGAGGCTGTAAAGGCCAGGTGCGGCTAACAGCATTAGAGTAGTCCGTAAAAAAACCAGCGACACCACTCATACGTTACTATTCCAGAGAACTAAGATGTAATGCCTTCTATCCTGTAATTTCACTGTCTAATCTGCACCCTAGAACCGAAACAATCTTACAAAGCTGTTTAGTGACGTAAGTGAAACCGATGTATGCATGCAGTCGACTTTTTGCAGTCTACCTCAATTCTTTATTACGGGAAGTGTTCATAATTTTTAAACGAGCCTTTGATGATCTGTGAACCAATTCCAATTTCCCGCGTTTTTATTTATTTGAAATAACGTCGATGAAACGTAATTGTTTAGCTTGAATCGATTACGTCTTTTCGCGTCGCAGGAAAAATGATCTTATGAATATTAAACAACCATTATATCTAGTGTTTTGACGAAATCCCCTCTTGAATACTTTTTATTTTATTTCTTAGAAATAAAATAAAATATTCAAGAGGGATAAAACAGTTTTAGTATATATCCGTCAACATTTGTCGGCCTTGGTTGTTTACGAATTTAGCACATCTCCTTACTTGCGAGGGTTGCGAGTTCAATTAGGAGGCAATTAATTTGTATTCATGAGTATGATTTTTTGTATTGGTCTAGATGTTTCATGTATATTATTTATGTATTTATAATACATATCTGAACTCTATTCAATACCCAAGAGAGATACTGAGGATACCGATATTGCGTGCACACACTCCTCTTAATATTTCTAGCTTATTATTTATTTATGAATAAATTGATGTATCATAAATATCATTCTTTAAAACTTTAAAATAATCAACTAAGTATTTAATAACTTTCTACGTTAGCGAAGGTACAGAAGTATAAATGGTATTGCGAAGTTGCAAGTAATTTAATATTTTTTGTTACAGGTGCAGTATGCGCCGAAAGTTCGGATGTTCATAAAATCTGGAGCAGCAAAAGGACAAATACAGGAGGGAGACACGCTGGTTATGGGTGAGTTGGTTATGTTTAGTCTATACTAATATAGTATATAGTCAGATAGATTGTTAATTATCCATAGTTAGTAACAGCTTTTTAAAATCAAGTGTTAATAGGACCAACACAAGAAAAGGGCAAAACACATAAATCTGCAGAGTTTGTTTACTGTAATAAGAACTTCTATTATAAGTACTAAATAATTGATAGCAATATATAAATATTTTTTTTTGTAAATACATACATAATATACGTAGAAAACAAACCTAACAAAACAAATCATGATTACAAAATGTTTTCAAAGTGTGAGGGAACGAACCCACAACCATCGGACGTAAACCAGTGTGCTGAATCCCTTGGCTACCATACCGACCACCATTTGTCTGTTTGGTTGAATTAAGTTCGTTCATTGATATAAAGATACTGAGATGTAGTCATATTTTGCGTAGTCCATATTTAATCTAGGTATATGTTTTTATTTTAAAAACTCTAAATACCCACAGAAAACTGTGTAAATACCAAAACATTCATTTAAAAGAGTTTCTATTTCTAATTTTCGAAATATCAATTAATTCAAATATACATTAAATAATTTTAATTTCATATTTCCAACACTAATTGGTTGAGACAGTTGTATTTATTATCAACATAACAAATTAAATTAAATATATAAAATATAACGCTGCTAAGTAGATATTCGTGTTACGGTCTTATTTGTTACTTTTCAGTGAAAATGCACAAAGCTGATAAGACCGAGAGAAAATAAATTCACCTAACACTTATAAAAAATTAAATTTCATTTCTAGTGCTGAGAAAAAAATATAAAATCTTTCTTATTTCTTTTATTGTAGCAACTACTACATATATTTTACACCTTACGCCAACGTACAGACGATTTATTTTTATATTCCAACAAGAACATACATCATATTAGTCCGCAGCTAGGATTCCACGTATGCGAGTGTAGAATAATGAAGCGTGTGGAATTTCTAGACTAGACTTTAAGATTTACAGCCATTCCTTACGCTAAAAGCTCTAAATAACTAAACTACGTATACATTTCAAAATGTCTCTAAAAATAATACCAATAAAGTTCTTTTTTATAGAAATTCTTACGTAATATATTTTGAATTTGGAAATTTTGTTATTATTAATATTTTATTTGATTAGTACTTATTTCTTTATTTTTGCTTTACTTTGGACTTTAATGTATAAAAAACATTTAATGTTCGTAGTCAGAAAGTGTCTAATTAATTTAGTAGCTAATAGACTAGTTAGATTTTAAAATTAATTGATTCCATTGGTAATAACGAGATTATTATGCAACGTATTTTGAATTTTGAATTTTGCCTTCAAGGATTAGTATTATTATTATTATGCTTTAGATATATTATAGACTAGTATAGAAATTACTATAGACCATATTAGTAATTTTAATTAAAATAATAATATTTGTAACTTGTTTTAATTACTGATACAGAATTAATTATTTATTTTTACTTATTATATAAATATATTTTAATGTTCGCAGTTAGAATAAGTGTCAAATCAATTTAGTGGGTAACGGAACGGGTATACCGTTCCGTTTTTAAATAATTGTTTCCACTGACAATGGCTAATGTAAATTTGAAATTCTAAACACGATATATTGCTAGTTATAAAGTTTATGGGTTATATTTAGAATTATAGAAAACTTCCATTCATTTTTAAATAACTATCAACCAGTGCTTTGTCATGATCTATCATTGTTTCCAGAAATACTGTCGTGCTAACTTTAGTTTCAAACTAACTTTTGTCAGTTCTTGAAAAATTTTGCCCTGATATTTATTTTCCACAACAACTTGGAAAGATTTATTTTAACTTTATAAGTGTGAATGGTCTCAGCTATAAAGTAATTTATAGATAGCTAAATATATAGGTATTTAAACTTATATTAAATAATTTTACAGCTTCTTAAATTTACTATTCTCTAAGATTTACTACTCAATCATTCTAACCAATTATGCATAGTTAAAAGCATTCTATTGCTCTCTAGTTAAAAACAAAAATATTTTATTAGTACTTTTTGTTTAATATTCACAAAATTTTGTTAAAAACTTGAATGAAATCAAAGAACTATACAAATAAAATTATTATGTCATTGTTTAGGAGGTCTTGCCTTTGGATTTGGATTTGGATTATTATTATATAATAATCTGGTTTAGTACGAATTAGATTCTTTATTAGACTACTGAAGTTCATAATAAGTAGTGAAGTACCATCTAACAAATATAAGAGAATAATCGGCCATTTTGTTTAATGATATAAAGTTCTAAATTCAAAATTAGCGCCATATATTTAGTAGCCAAATGGTAAATTTTAATTTATATGAATTTACTCCTTTAGTCAATTTCATAAATTGCCTATTGCAGACATGGTTAGAATTATTTCTCCCCTCAAATACGGAGTCTATTGTTTAAAAGATTTAATATAATAAATTATTCCACAGGTTGCCAAGGAAGCGCGAACCCAAACAATCTCACATACAAGTGGTACATAAACAATAATCAAATTGTCGGCACTACGAACAATGAACTGGTAAGCTATAGGAATATCTGTTATTTTTTTTAATAGATAATTAACCATTCTGAGTTTTCGCTTATACTGCCTAAATGGTGATATGCTAGTATGTTGGTCAAACTACTTTCTTAGAGCATGGATTGTAGATTTAAGACAAATATATGTACTTAAGTACATTTTGTTGTACAAATATAGTAATTAATTTATTTTTTGTACTGTGCGGGGATCAAACCCAAGATAATCAGCAAGTTAGGAAGGGTAACCACTGTACTAGCAAGGTTATAAGATATATTGTATGTATCTTTTAAGGTTTATATCGTTTGTGCAAAACTATATTCCTTACACATAAGCACCTCGCTATCAAAATATAGTTTCCGAATAATTTTGGCTATTATGCTTAATTCTCGGGAAATAATTTCTTTTCAAGAAGTAACAATTGTAGCCTAAAATAAGTGTCGTAGTTTTCAAAGTACTAGTAGAATCATTATTTGTTTTCAAGGTTAATGAGATTTTGAAGACGTCCATACAAATAGATTAGGAACACTAGGAAAGAAAGAAAGCAAAATATTTATTTTCATGTGAATTTAATACAAGTAAAACGTACATACATGGCTAACAAAATATATATCTCTAGTTATATAGTATTACTTAAAGAAATAGTAATTGTAATATATAAACTATTTGTATAAATATAATATTATATTTCTTTTTATTTATTAAGAGCTGTAATCGCGACTTCGTTCGCGTGGAATTTAACAGTAAAAGTTAATTAGAGAATTTTTCTAAAATAAAAGTAGCCTAAGTTACTCCTTATTACATTAGCTACCTGCCAATAAAAGTCCCGTCAAAATTGGTTCAGCCATTTCGGAGATTATCCGGAACAAACAGACAGATAGACAGACAAAAATTATAAAAACTGTTATTTTGGTGTATGTACCGTATTTGTATTAATATATAGGTATGTAGTAGAAAACGGCTACTTCAATATTACAAACAGACACTCCAATAGCGATAAGAACGCCTTTTGTTACTAGTCATTGTATTTTCTTTTTATATTAATTATATTTTTCTATACATCGGGTGCAATAATGTGTAAATAAATAAAAAAAAATATGCATTAATGACTGCTATGCTGGCAAAAAAATATGGTCCATATGACGGTAAAAAAATTAATTGTAACTATAGTAGCTTATAACAGGGATAAAGATCACCATTACCAATACAAAAATAACTTCTTTGATAAAATCCATGTTATAAATTTAGTCTCATAGTAATCACAATGATACATTTTCTTATAATGTTCACTTTTAAAAAAATATCTATGTATCTAGAGATTAATAGCCATATCTCTGGTTTGCATTGTAAATATTAATTTTCGTAAACACAAAATCTATGAATTTAAACTATTTTCTGCAAACTTAAAATTAAATTTTGTCAGCGCGGCGTGAACTTACTTTGACGGTACTCGAAGTTTGTTTGAATCCTTACTTGAACTGGATTTCTAATTTCACGTATGATGACATTTATAGTTATTATAGTTTCTATTACAGTTACTGTTAATATCTAATTATCATTTTATTACATTAATTTAAAATTATGGTACATTTATAGATTTTAATCTAAAATTATAACACTTTTAAAATTTGCCAATTTAGAGCAATTAAACTATTGCCAATAATAGTAAATAGTAATACATATTACCTACCATCATCTGACTTTTTAGTGTAAATAAATAAATTTCATTCATTCATTCATTCATTCATAAATGTATGTGTAAACGAATTTATTTTTGCTCGTATTACTGTTGACTAGATTTACAGGTGTAATATGTATATAGTGGGAATGCTGATGTTATTTAAAAAGAGTTATATAAATATCCTCTACGTTTATAAAATGAATAAAGAGATTCATTAGAAAGAAAGAAAAATATATTTATTTGGCGTATACAAAAGCATTATACACAGCAAATATGTAAGAAGACATTAAATAATATCTTAAATGTAGTTTTATAACTAATAATTTCATTACTACACAAGATATGTACGTGATCTACCAAAACGTACGAAATTTGTCATAATAATAAACAGTAAAAATTTTAACATTCCACTAAATACATTCTACAAAATATTGTAATTTCTAATTAATCAACATATTATTTGTTATAACAAAACATGTACCTCTATAGTATGGTTTAATTAAAAATGAATTCGAATTTTGATTTTCAAATTTCGAATTCATAAAGTTTACATAACATTTTTACAATAGAATGTATATAACAGGATGTGGTTTATTGGAAATTATTTTTAAATATGAATTTTCTGATTTTGAAATTTTGTTAAGATTGTATAGAATAGTGGCGTAATTAAAATTAAAATTTGTAACATCGTTCCAATGAATTTTAATCGCCGCCCTAACTTTATTTTATATCCTTTTTATGTGACGTAATAAAGTGCTACTTGTATTTCTTTCAGTGTATTAATTTTACAATTCGTATTTGCATCCACTCCCGTGGAAAGTGCGCTATAATATTTCGTGGAATGTTCAAATTTCTTGGCGCACCTAGCGTCTGCAATATGCATTTTTCATTAGTCGTATGTCGTAAAGTTATACTTTTGTAAGTTAACAAAGTTCGTACTCATGTTTGCATTTTCTCGAGGAATTCACTAGCTCTAAGAACTACTAATACAATAGTTATAAATTTTTTTCCCTTGCCCAATTAGCACAACGCCATCTAGTCCCACATTAAGACCACCATCTAGACCTCGTGCTATGTCTAAATAACTGATATAAACACTTAGTTTTTTTTCTTGTATATACATACATAATGTACATAGAAAACAACTAGACAAGATATAAACAATCATACTCATGAATACAAATGTTTGGACCGTGCGAGGAATCGATGCCGCGATCATCGAAAGTAAAGCGCTGTGCTTAACCGCTAGACAAATGAGGCCGTCTAAGTACTACTTACTATATAAACAATAGTTTTTTTCTTTACATAACCGGAATGGTAAACAAGCAGAAGGCTCACCTGATGGTAAGTGATAATCATTTATAAGTATATAGTATATAAGTATATACATGAACAACACCTACATAACATGTGACCACTATAATAACACTCATTATTTGCCATTCGTTCATTTGCAAAAACAACTCGGTTTAAAATAGGTGAGACTCAGGTACTACAGACTTTTATATATTATTATTTTTTCTAGGTACTAATGAATATTTCTCGTAAACACAATGATGCTACGATTAGATGTGAAGTCTATAATGCAGTGGGAAAGAGTGCTGAATCGAAGACCTTGGAAGTGGCATGTAAGTCCTTATTTCATTATTATATATTTATATTTTCGTGAATATTACTTACACAGATAAAAAAAATTGTATACATTAATTCTTAAACATAGTTCTTTATAACTTAATATTTTGTTAACTTCTACTATGTTCGTAAACGAAAAACATAAATAAATACATAAATTAATTGGCTGTGCTTTCTCAAAATAACACCTAACTCAATAAAATAACTCTTTATGATAATAAATTCACGATTGTGTTGTAGTCAGAAGAATTGTCAACTCGTGGTGAACGCTGGACGTGCTTGCCTATATTTCTTTGAGTTTGAAACTCTTTGAATTTCATCCATTATCAGTGTTTACATAACAATTGAGTCATAAATATAAAATAATAACATAACACACACACATAACACACACATAAATATAATATAAAATAACACACATAGTTTTTGGTGTCGACCAAATCCTAGCTCACTATATTTGTGGTAAATGAACTAGGTTACGCTACGCTACACTCTCTATTATTATATTAATATAACATGTCTATAAATAAACAAAATAAATATTTACTCTCATCCGTTTTTAAATTAAGAATCCGACATTTTCAAATTAAAAATATAATAAAGATTCCAAATTTAAAAATGGTTTAAGAAAATATTTGTAACAACAGACAAGAGAATTTGTGCGTCATATTTGCAGGTTTTAAAAAAAGGAATCTCATAAGGAAATCACTTCAATTCTATTATTCGTCCATTTTAATGCGAGAGTATCAAAATGTAATAACAATGAGTCTTCGATATACGAGAGCCACTCTTATTGCTTGAATAAAACGAACTACTTTCGTTTTACGAGCATGAGATTATAAGCCATAAAATGACTGGCCCATTTGGGTTTCTCATTTTCTGTTACTTGTCTTTTAGTGACGTCGGCTTTGAAAGTGTAATTGATTGTAGAAATAACTTTGGGTTAAGTAGGAAGTAGTTATGATTATATGATTTGTAGACATTTCGGGTGTATTAGAAAGGATTTAGGGACCATCATAATTACTATTTAGTCATTATTAAACATAAACTACTTTGTTGATTGAATTGAAAAAATAATAATAACCCTGAACAATATAGCGCTGTACTAGACAATTCATAGAAACACTTAAATACTTTTTTTTGTAAATTCGTACATACTAAACTTGAAGATTAATACAAATAATGATGAATTTGCATCGTGATGGAACAATTAATATTTTGCACCGTGCGAGGAATCGAACCCGCGACCATCGGAGTTAAGCGGGTGTGGTAAACCGCTTGATGTTCTGTTTTTATATGTATATCTACCAATTGTACTTTAATGAATTATTCCTGGTCTTTTTGGTTTTGCTCTTCTAGCCGAATATACATATTTTACCTCACCTAGAAACGTGTCCCATTTTAAACCAGTTAAATACATACATACATATCCTTTCATCACAATCAGTATTATTATAATTTAATTAATACTACATGAATATTCCTTGAATTACTATTAATTATCATTCTCACAACGTAAGAATGGGAGTGGGAAACAAGCATTACTAACCCACATTAGGCCACAACACAATAAAGCGTATTTAGAGTTAATTCCCCAATTACTGCTCTTGTTAACGATTTAGTAGTAATTCTTGTACCCGTAGTAATTATTGTTCACTTCATTATTGTGCTGAGGGGTAAAGGTAAAGAAAAATGACTCTTGAGCAACATATTATAAGAACGTTTTTAGAGTCAGCTAATTGGGTGAGAATACTTTAAAAATGTTTTAACCCCATATATAACCAACTTTAAACGTACTCTTATATACTTTCTCATCCAATAGTAAAAGACGGGTAACAAACCAAGTCGACAATAATAATTATTATTGTAAAGTTATATTATTGTCCAGTATTTTTGTTATTTTTACAAAAGTAATAATAATATTCTCAGGACAATTCGCACAGTCCCAAGTTAAGCTACCAAAAGCTTGTGTTATGCGTCCTAGATAACTGATAAATACATAGATATATATATTTTTCGTAAATACATACATATTATAAATAGAAAACACCTGTAATAAATAGATAAGATAATAGAGAAAGAAAGATTGTTTCATTTTCATCAATATATATTCTGTAAAATAGGTATAAATAACATATATGAGATATGTAACTATATAAAATAAACGTAATTAGTGTGGGCTGTGCAATTACGGTGTACATATACCTATTACTTAAATAGGTTTCCTATACAATATATAATGCAAAGATAATATTATATGTTTCAAGAAAATGTTACATTATTGTATGTTAATATTTTATGATTGTAACCTAAAAACGGTAGCAGATAAAGATGTTGGTTTTAATTTAGTACCTATTTCAGTTCTTAATTTGAATAAATGATGTAAAACATACATTCAACGTAATTTCTATGAATAAAAGAGTGCCTTTAGGTTTCATTCTGTATATTTAATTTGACGGCCTCGGTGGTATGACACCGCTTTTCTTCCAATGATCGCGGGTTCGATTCCTTTCACGGTATAAACATTTGTATTCATGAGTATCATTGATTGTATCGGTCTGGGTGTTTTCTTTGCATATTATGTAAGTATTAACAAAAATTATAAATATCTAAGTATTTATATCGATTGTCTTTGATTGATCGCTTTCCATGGGACTAGATGGCGCTGTGTTAATTACCTTAAATTTTATTATTGTTATTCATATATATTCTATGGATGGATGTATATATATAATATGGATGTAATCCGAATTAAAATTAAATAGATAAAATATTCTTAAATTATTATTTTGTACATACTAGTACTTCTACAAAAACATTACAAATTTTCTGTCTTATTTTCTTTTTAATATATTTTGTCTATTATACAATAAAAAAAAGTAATTTACCGTTTCGTATTTCTTTTTTAATTTATCATTTTTATTGTAGACGGCCCCACGTTCAAACAGAGGCCACAGAATATAGAAGGTGAATCTGGATCTACTGCGATACTCAGCTGCATTGTAGACGGTCATCCATCACCGAAAATACTGTGGTTGAGATACGAAAACGAGCATGTTGTTGTAAGTAATAACTTCATATACCTACCTCCTTATTTATAAAAAAAACATCTAATTGTAATTAACAAATTTTATTATCGAAAAGGCCGTATAATCTTAATGCAATTGCCTGCCTCTATGGTAAATGAAAAAAATAATAACAACAACATATTTTATCTATATACACGCCCAGTCTTATATAAACTGTTTATGATATTTTTTTACGTTATTTGAATCGTAAACAGGATGCTGGGTCACCAGATAGTAAGTACCAATTGTTGCCTGTAAACACGATATCTCGTCATCATGTGACGACTCTAGTGTGATATCCTGTATTGTCATTCCGAAGATCTAAAGTCTCCATACCCTGGAATTTCACTGCCATATTACATATATACGCACCTTTTAACTGAAACATATCTTACAAAGCAAGCTGCTTAGCTGCTAAAACTGGCGAGACTGAGGTACCCACGCAGACGATTTCATACATTATTTAATATAAATAAATGACCATTTTATGAACAGAGAGTCGGAAAATCTTCAAATTTGACCGTAACGATAACAGAAGAGACTGCAGGCGAATATTGGTGTAGAGCCAGTATAGATCACTACCAAGATATTGAAGCTTCTGCCATGGTGTACGTAAGAGGTAAGAGATAAGATGTGATGCTAATAATCTCAGGACAATTCACACAGCGCCATCTAGACCCAAGTTAAGCTAACTATAGCTTGTGTTATAGGTACTAGATAACTGATAAAAATACATAGATATATATTTTTTTTCATTACATACATATTATACATAGAAAACACCCTAACCGATACAAACAATCATACTAATGAATACAAATATTTGTGCTGTCGAGGAATCGAATCCGCGATCATTAGACGTAAAGCGGTGTGCTATACCGCTAGACTACCGAGGTCGTCAATATATATATATGTCCATATATGCAAATGTTAGTGATACAAATAAAGAACTAAATACTATTTTAGGTCCACCTAAGATAACTTCAAATGAGACACAATACGGCGTAGAAGGAGACAGCGTGAGAGTGGAATGTGTGTCCTTCTCTATTCCTAAACCAGACTATATTATATGGACGTTTGCTGGTGGAGAAATTAATACATTTCATAATCAAGTAAGTAAACTTTAATTATTGAGATAATAAAAAAAAGTATTATTATTTACAATTTATAACTACAACTTATAAAAATAATTGTCTGTAATACTAAAGCGTTCAAAAAGTACGTTTTTGGACGGGTCATTGGGGTCCTTAATATATACTTGAGCGCATCCTTTGTACTTGTGAACGGACTTACTTCACTGGCGAGTCAATCAGAACTTGAAATTGATATACAAAGTTTTTTTTTGGTGTCGGCTAGATTTGAACTTACGACCTTTTAGAGGTAATTCAGGGCAGTAAACCACTATGCCAGGATTATTTCAAATGTCATCGCTCTAACATTACTTTTACATAATTAGGGTGTTTATTTATTATTATAATAAAGAATGAAATGTTCATGTAACTTTAGAAAATTTTGCGTTTCATATCGACTAACTTGTTACTAACTACAAAAATAGTTACTAACAAGTTAGTAGATATTAGGTATACTTATACAGAATTCGTGGAATATAATCTTTTGTGTTGTATTATAATGAATTTTGTAGGAGTACGCGTTCTTAGAAGAAACATTAGCAGATAGCCTAACAAAATCAACACTGATCATAAGAAAAAGCGAAGCGAAACATTTCGGGAAATATAATTGTACGGTTACTAATGAATATGGAATGGACAGCGTAGAAATTAATTTAGTACCTGACAGTAAGTATTTACAATTATTTATTATACAATCTATACAAACAGTTTTAAAAAAATGTGTCGCGAATATTGTAGAGATTTCATTTTTTTAATCTAAAATACACTCTATTTTAGCTAATAATGTAATTTAGTATTGGTGAAAAGAAATTTTAATATCATTTAAATATTTTTGCGTTTATCCTTTGTTATTATAAAATATATTAATTTATAGAATTCTGCTATGCATTTATTTGTCAATTAATTTCTAAATGGCTAGACCGTTTTGGATTGAATTTGGTGTTAAAATTCTAATTGGTTGCTGATTGCTTACAAAATACAATTAGACCCGTTAAGACTGTTTTCGGAGGAGGATGAAACTTTTGTTAACTCTTGGAGTCTTACGCAGACGATATCACGAATGAAAAGTAGTCTAAAGTAATATTATAAAAAGCAAATATAACATATACTATTTATATTTAATAAAATGAAAGGTTTAAGAAAGAAACACCTAAATGCTTCACGCGTGTGACTAAAATCAGAGATACCATAATTGCAGGTAGTGTAAAACAAAACGAAATTCTTTCAGAATCATTGCCAATGTTCCTCATCATAACAGCGTGTGCTACTATACTTATAGTTCTTCTAATAGTAATGCTCATAATAATGCTGTGCCATCGAAGAACAAACAAGTCGGACGTAAAGAAACCAGACATAACTGACATAGGCAAGACCAGCATGGATCAGTTTAAAGACAGTGATAGAAACTCAAACATTAGTGATTTGAAGCTAGAATTGAGGCAGGTGGAAGGCAGCTGTGGTTTGGTAAGACTTTTAATACCTTTTTTATGCAATCGAAATGATAAAAAATGAACTATGATCACGGTATCATGTGTGAGTTCTTGGCCTACGTGAAACTGCAGCAAGTTCTATACTAAAACGTAGCATCACCAGCAGACTTCTAATAGATTTGAACAGGCAGAGAGAGAAACACCAGCGGTGAAGTAGAGTACTGACGTGCATCAACAAAGGGGCTCTTTAAACCTATACCTGGATCACAATTTCCGGGAAATGCTTGGAGTTTCCCTCTCTGCCACACGGAACCCGCATGGTGATAAGTGGCAGTCTGAGGCATGCTAAGAAGTTTGTGGCTTTCCGTTCTCATGTGTCACCATTCCAGAGGGTTAAGGTGTCACGTCTCTTATCCTCTAATTTCACTGCCTACCCGGTACCCCATAGCAAAAACACAGCTTACAGACATAGCAGCTGATATAAGTGAGACTGAGGTACTCACGACTGTTTACTATCAAGATCTGGTGATAATTATTAAAAGAAAAGCCACAACTAGATTACTATAATGTAATAATATAATTTTAGGACAACTCAAATGCTGGTTCAGAGACCGACCTCCATCCGACGCATCACTTAGTTTCGAATCTTGGACTGCCATTGGCTGGACCGGTTTCGTTACCTAACAGCTATGACAATGAACTAATGAAGCAGTACCAGAGATATAGCGGGGACTTCAATCAACCTATCACCAGTTTACATTCGAAGGTCAGTATTCTATATAGCTTTTAGGGTTGAAACCAAAAAGACAAAATTTTACCTTTATAGAGCTTTGTCTATGAAACTGTCTGTAACAGTGCTGACTGATACTAAATTGATGGTATATATTTTAAATTTGGATTAGTCGTATAAACTGTATGCTCAATTATTTTGTTGATGAAAATAAAATCTACTCTCTTTATAAGACGCTACGATATTGAGGCTCAAAATATCGAAGTAAGCATACTAGTTTCATTAGAAAATTATACAGTAAATGTCTATTTTATTTTGTGTACTCCAAAATTGATTATTATGATGTTTATATTTTTTAGCTAGTTTAGACATCATCCTAAATAATATTATAATAATAAATATGTCGCGTACTTTTCAACTTATTTTAAAAATTATAAACAGAAAACAATCACCAACACCTTTAAAATTACTAAAACAAAAAAAATGTATTTACAGGACAGTATACAAATATAAAAAAATATTGCCCAGTTTTTGAGCAATACTCAAATATTTCCTATTTATTTATTTTATAAAAAAAATAAACGTTTAGTTACTTAGTTCATTTTTACATATATTTGATCTAAGTTAAGTATCATGAATACATTAATATTTAGATCCTCTATTGTTTATAATGTATTAGTATAGAAAATATAACCTACTAATAACTATTATGCCTATTTATAACGAATGGAATTAAAATAACAAAATTCGGAACCCTCCGTATGCCAGTCTGACATGCACTTTGCGATTTAAGTTTTCTTTTTTTTTTCTTTTAAAATGTTACCTCAGTAAATATTGAATGCAGCCTATTCCTGTACATCCATTCCCTCGGGACTATTTTAAAATGCACGATACGATTTGAAATCTGAGTATTCCAACCTATTCTTAGTTCACTTGAGAAATGCTCCTACGATTTACATAATGGAAAAATATTGAAGCATACAGTATCTCGATCCAGTAATCCAAATGAAACGACCATTCATTCATTCAAATTTTTCAGCGTCTATGATAATGTCTTAGGTTTTCTTATAGGTTCAATTTTAAATAAATTTTTTACTAATTAATTACATATAAACATTCACAAAAAAATGTAATCCAACGCGTCACATTGAGGCAGCGTACCCAAGATACTGGCAGCGTTGCCTATTTGAATGCAGCGGTGAAATACATTTCTTATATAATTGTAAAGATAAAGAAATAGATCATTCACTTGATGGAAACTAAAGATTGAAGCATTGATAAACGCTACATTCAACAGCGGATAATGTTTTTATATGGTTTTGAATAACGGTTATCATTAGATATGCTGTCAGCTTATTTTCCATTCAAATTACATAAATAATTATGACCACCATGATACTGAAGCATTGCTATTCCGTAGGACTAAGAATCGTGCCTCACAATATAATTTTACTGCCATTCTTAAACAAAACACAGCTTGTGAAGGAAGTTGCTTGACGGTAGAAAGAAGTAAGACAGATGCTCACGCAGACGACTTTGTTATAAGTCTATCTATTTTAACTAATCTAATACAGTAATGTATGTAAGTTACATATATTAAATATTTACATTACGTATACAAAATATTTATAACTATTAAAAATATTTGTTACTTTTGTATGAAAAAATTATGAATTCACTCAGAGCACAAAAGACGTATGTTCGTAATATTTAAATTTAAACAATTCAAAGCACACGCAGTGCTTAATTTAAATTGTTAATTAACCACATCATTGACCAGATAAACCAAATATAAACTGATATTAAAAAAATTGTAAACAACTGCACACAATCTTCGTCTATAGACAAGAAAGATAGATAAATAACGATAGATAGGCCGATATATATTGCTATAACTACACTACAAGAATTTATCTTACATCTGGAAACTTTAGACTTTATACGGAGGTTCCTTATGCGATATAGTATTCACAAAGAAATGGTTTATAGCTATTCCCACGGGATTTGAGGATACGGGTACGTGCGGGCGACACTACAAAGTTTTGTTTTAGTTTATCTAATGGTTAATAATGACATCATAGCTATAAATTATAATAGGACGGTGATTAATTAAAATTTTGTGTTGTTCATACTTCATGTGACTGGACCTTAAAAAACTGAATAATTGTATAGTACCTACTATAGCTATTTATAATTACATATAAAAAGAGGTATCATAATAATACAATATTTATAAAAAGAAAGCTGCCAGCAATACCTCATCTATTTATAACTAGCTTCTGTTTGCTAGTTATCCGCAAGACCATATTGTTTAATAGAGTAATATTGCTTGTTGTAATCATAATATATATATTAAAAAATTCTTTTGCACGCACATTACATTCTAGGGCGTTACAATTAAAGACTTCAAGTCTTTAATGGAAATGCCGTAGAATGTACGAGATAAATGTGCATTATTTTACAAAAAGAAACAAAACAATGTCGTTGCTCTATGTTCAATGGTCCATTTTAAAAATAAGTAATTTTTTTTAAGAAGTATTTAATAGCTATATGGCATCAAACATTTTATGCCTTTAAATTACATCAGAATAACTCATAGGCAGTAATTTAAAAATATATTATGTAAATTGGGCGAAATATAATCTTAAATGTCAAGTGTGATGTAGAAGAAATTGCGCGGGTAGGCTAGTATCTAATAAATACACACAATCACATTTTGTATTTCATAAGATTTTATTATCAATCTGAACAAAACATACATTATTTGATATGAAAATAAATGCTATTTAAAAATTGAATCAGTGGAATCACAGTTATAATGTGATAAGGTTATGTACTCTTTATCAGGAAGAGAACTAGTTTATTTGCCATTTCAACTAGGTATATAAAAAGGAGTAAGGTTTCTTTTATAGCATAGGGAACAAACGAGCTTGCGGCTTACCCGATGGTGATTACCGCCGCCTATGAGCAACACTAGCCACATTGCAACCGCGTGTCGGCCTTTTAAAAAGGAATTAGCTCTTTCTTGAAGGTTTCAATATCGTATCGGTTCAGAAATACCATTGCTGGAATTGTTATTGGTTTAAAGTATTGATCGATTGTGGTCTTGATCTATTTCAGCCCTCTTTAATATTGTATGACCTAAAGATATACAGTACCTAGGTACTATATCCATTACCTATATAGACAGAATGGATCTTCTAAAAAGCAGCCTAGTGGGAAATAGTTCACTACGTGACTAGAATATTACTTGATATATCGTAAACAATACAGCTTATAGGGTTGTCAAATATAAAAGAAAAATGACATAATACCAGATTTGTATATGGTCTTATGTTAGAAAAAGATCTAACATAGGACAACACACAAGAAGGTAGACTTTCTAAAGTCTATAGGGCCACCCCTGTCTCACATATTTAAGCCACAAAGTAGCTCTCCAGTAGTATCTTTGTAAGCTGTGTATCGGTTTGAGGGAGAGATATGGCAGTGAAATTGTAGGATGTAGAAGCATGAGATCTTAGTTTTCCGGAATGGACACCATGGGTGGTATCATGTTTCACAGGATAAAAATGATGTCTGTAGTGCTGTTCATGTATGTAAGCGATGATTATTACTAACCTTCAGATAATCTATCAGATACCCATACCGCATCCAAAGAAGGCTTTAAAAATCGTAAACACACATCAATAAGTATTGCTTGTAAATTTAAATTAAATTTAAATTTTACTTTAATTGACTGAGTTCGTGACTACAATTTAATGGGATAAAAATTGTCATCCCTAATGTATGTACATATACATATTATGCCAAAGACACTAAGTAATTAGTTACACTAAGTATCTAAAATCTATTGAAACTTGGAATCATAAAAGAGAATATACAAATAAAAATTTACATCTATAAAATCAGGATTTAGAAAACTAAATTTTTACCTCGTTCAGCCTACTAAATAAACATTATCGCAAGGGAAATACAGCGGCAATGGCCCAAGAATGCATCCCTGGATTACAACGGTTATCCTATAAGCTAGGAACGAGCAGTCTTGTCCCTTGAGGCAACAACAAATTGAGCAAAATGTGGTAGAAAATGATGTTTTCATATACTAGTACCTCCAATCGATATTTAGTTATAAATAATTTACTGGATTTTACCGAAATACTTATTATATATTTATAGACAACAATCTAAATTAACCAATGGTTTGCACGTAGTTACAAATGTTTATACCGTGCGAGGAATCGAACCCGCGCCCATCGGAGGTAACCGGCTTACCTCTGTGCTAATCCGCTGGACCACCGAGGCTGTCAATGTTTTTCATATCTCTTACCTGCTTCGTCCTTATGCTTATATATTTAGAATTGATTGTAGCATGTAATCTTTAGTTTAAATAAATCGACAACCCTGCGTGAGAACAAGAAACAACTGAATCACATTACGACTTCTTTATAAGTCTAATATTTCTTGTTCAAGTTTCTTAGCAGAATTATGATAATGATATAGCAAATATATTAAATATAATATTCGTATTATCTACCTACCTTCATACCAGGTCTGTTACAAGGTAAGGGAAGAGCCAGTTACACATAGCTGATTATATTTCATACTAATTTCTGATTAAAGAAAGGAAGAGAAATTTTTTTCTTTGCATTTTTATGTGTGTACATTACCCTCAATTTATGAAAATATTAGTAATATTCTAATTAAATTTCATTATATGTATATTGTATAGCAATAGTTACGCACAACATCGACCGCGCGGGAATAAAATAAATATAATAGTTGCCTAAGTAAATCCTTTTAACGTTAGATCTCAGCAAGTTATTTTTTTTTATAAGTACCGTATATGCTTTCGTATACAGATATTGAAATACTATTAATTTAAAATTAAAAACAGATATTTTGTAGATTTCTTATTTTTATTTTATTGTTTAATTAGTCTTTCTAACAGGTTTATAGGACAAAAAATACTGGTACTTTTATTATATGTAGGTATTGCAATTCATCTTCCTATGTTCTTATTATTTCAACTCGCAGACTGTTCATGAATATTTCAGAGCTCTAGAGAATAATCTGTCTTCAACACCCAAGTAATATTTATGAAATATATCATTACTACTAGGCATTATTAATCATTATTAAAAGACACGTACCCAATTCTAGTAATATTATTTCTGTGACAAGAATAGATGGATGCTTATTAAAATAAAGTTAAATACACACTTCTTACAATTCGAATAAAGTTTGACAAAGATAAATTAAATTCTATAATGGAGACTTTGTACAAAGTCGTCTGAGTATATACCTACATCTGTCTTAAATATTTCTGGCCTCAAGCAACTTTGATAGAAGAATATGTAGTCTTACGTTGTTCTTACGCATGTCGTCTTACGTTAGTCATCTGGAATGGTAACGCAAATGGTATTGTTATCACATTACGAGTATAATCTGCTATTGAGAGTATAACCTGATATGAGATACGGTTATGATGGTTATAATGACACCTTGACTGGACTATAGTTGCACCATACTCAGTCATAAAATACAATAGGCACTGATTTTATGAATCATAGTAGACTGTTACAGCCGCCTATGCTGACCGTTTACGCAGGCGGTACAATAGAGAATAATAAGATGACCAGGATAGATAGATAGATAGATAAAAAGCTTTATTTTTCAAATTTACATATTATAATTCTACTATCCTGCAAAACTCCTGTCGGGGTTTGTCTAAAGATTCAGAGTAGATTGCCCATCATGGTTCTCTCATCTCATACTCATCAGGAATTTGTCACAATGATTTCTATTGTATGTAGACAATCATACATTGTCAGCAAGGGGGTTATCTGTCCATATTATATAACAATATAATTTCCACTAGTTACTATTTGAGATCTAACATTAAAAACGTTACCTTCTTTAGGTACATGGTCAGACCAACGGTTACGTACCTTATGTGGATTATTCAAGAGACTACGCGCCTCCCATGCCAGAGTCTCAAAGTTCTCTGTCTAGAAGCATGGATGGGTCTATACATTTAAGTCAATGTGATTCTCTCAATCGCCAACCTAGCAGTGGAAGACTAGGTGGCATAATTGGACCTGATGGTAAGCATAATCTTATTTACTTACAGATATCATGAGTAGGAACCGACAAGTTTTAATAAAACGACTGAATATACCTTAGACGCAAAACACTTTTTATACTGCTATGGTAGCAAACAATCATATGGCCTATCTGATGGTCAACGGTTACCATAGCCTATGGCCGCCTATGGTTACGCCTGACACACCAGGGGTGTCACGTGCGTGTTGCCGACACTAAATTGTTGTAATAATATGACACGTAGTCAAATATTTTGGTATTTCTTTATATAAGAATCGACTATAAATTTGATATATGAAAGAAATAATATTTGAATATTAGAAAAAGTACAAATATAACCTGTAAAAAAAAGAGTATATTTATTTGTTTGTCTTCTTTATCTAAGCGATAAGACTGCCTTTTGTACCTCATTATTTTATAAATTATATTGTTTGGTTATACATTAATAAATCATAAGTATATATTTTTTTATCAGTCATCCCTATGCCGAATCTAGGCGTAAGTTTGTCTGGTGGTGCTGATGTCAGATACGCCGCTACATATGGGAACCCTTATTTAAGAGGAAGCGGGCATTTATGTGAGTATATAATATTCTGTCTATATATGTAGATATGGATTTTTTAGATGTATAAAATATAAATTAAATAAATAATATAAATTTACATCCTACCCTCCAGTTCGTGAACTACTTATGTTGATACGATCTATCAAGTAACCCAAATCAATTGTATTATATTTTTTAAGGTTTTTGTTTTAGGTTCCTTGTCCTAGTATATATATATATTTCTGTATAAGGTCAGATATGTGTTAATATGTCTAACGTATTTAATAAAAGTACTTAATATCAGCACTTTTAAGTTAATTTAAATAAATATTACGTCTGTTTTTTTTTCGTATGATTTCATATTATTCTACAGTTTATATTTTAACAAACTGTAACAAATGTAAAGTTGTACAACATTTATCTAAAAGAGTGACAGACAAGTTTCTTTCTTATTCTTCTTGGCTATATTTCCACTATTATTTAACTACTAATTTGAAGTGAAGATTTACAAATCAATGGCTTACTATAAAATTGTCTATTCAAATAAACTTGTACAAAGTTTATATGAATAAACATTTTTCTATTCTAATTCTACTTATAAAGAACTTCAAGTTATGCTCGAAATTGTTATAGCATAATTTCCAATATGTTTCTTACTTTTAAATATATTCACAGCGTACATGCAACAAGTGAACAGCAATCCATCAGCCAAGTCGGCACCGCCCCCCTACTACTCCACTAGAAACCAGAATGTTCCGAACGGTACGTTAAAAATATATTCCGCGGCACTATGTCAAAACATGGGTACAAGATGAATGGATTTGTAACAAGCATTTGATCAATGTATACATGCAATGTTTATTAAGAGGTTGATTTTGAAATATTGGTATCAAAACTGAATATTTCTTCTATGTCGAGGGTTTTATTCTTAACATGTCGATGTATATTTATTTATTGGACTTCGTTGCTCATAAATAAAATGTACATATCGTTATTTACCAATTAACTATGAGCGGGAGAGAGAAAGGTAGTATGCGGCTATGATAGTCTTATATATAAAATGAATGTGTGTTTGTTCATGGATTTATAACAATATTACATTAGATTTTCCGCGGCACTACGTTAAAGCACTGGTACAAGGAAGGAAGGAATAAAATGAATATATTTGTAACAAGCATTTGATCAATGTATTCTTCTATATATTCTTTATTATATTATACAGTCTTTATTAGGAGGCAGATTTGAAAGTATTGGTAAATAAATAGTTTTTTAATGTGTCATTTTTCGTAACATAGTTTTGTATATCAATATTAATATATGTTTGCCTGGTTACTCGTTTATATCTATTATAATACTGTTATATGTGTATAAACTTATTGCTGGCTATTCTATGGTAATTTTAGTACAATTAACATCTATAGAACTAGTTTTGTAATAACTTGTCTAATTTTACGGCAGCAATACACCGTGTACCTATAATTAAATTAATATCATAAAATTTTTATGGACAGTATCAACAAGTTCTCCATCATCATCTTCATCATCAAGGCCTGTCAACAGTTCCCTAGCATCGTCTTCGTCTACTGTCAATAGTGCCCAACCTCAAGTAAGTTTTACTATTTACCATTTTATCGTTAATATTGATCAAAGTTATCTTGCTATAATTATGACAAAATTATGGTTTATTAGATCTATAAAGTGGCAAAGGTACCGACACAAATTAAAGCGAATTGTTATAGTCGAACTAGATTCATCAAATCTATATTCCGAATGAATAAAATACTATTTCAAAAGTATTTGCTTCTTAATATTGGATTAAAGATTCTATTTCTGTAATGGTACGAACGAATACAAATCTTAATATGAACTTTACTCTTTTAAATTTGGTTGAAAGTGTAACTTTAAAAATGAAATTGTACCAATATAAAATTTCATTCAAGATTAAATATACCGAAGACTGATAGAATTTCATATATGTGATAATGATATAAAATTGTTATGGTACATGCCATTATTTAATATTATATATAAAATTCTCGTGTCACAGTTTTCGTTCCCATACTCCTCCGAAACGGCTTGACCGATTCTCATGAAATTTTGTGACAGTATTGAGTAGGTCTGAGAATCGGCCAATATAAATTTTTCATCCCCTAAATATTAGGGGTAGTCCACCCCTATTTTTTTTTTTATTTTAAGGCAAAACAACGTTTGCCGGGGCAGCTAGTATATATATAATAATGCATATATTATTATTTTATAACACAAACATACAAAAGTACTAAGTAGTATATTATAAGGTACACCAATTCCTTTATCCAAATGTTTACTATATAAATAATGACACTATTAACATAGATATATTATGCAAGTATTAATATAAATAAATATTTAAGCAGGTGCCTAAAATGTCCCCATTATCTTCGGGTGCCCTCTACATACTACCGCCGTCCAGTCATGGAAGTCTTCAGTCCAAACAAATTACTGCCAAAGGTAAGCTTGATGATGTCTTATTTCTTTAAATATTCTAGTGAATAGATCTTTTAGAATAATACTTGGTTTTTTCAGTCATATAATTTTACACCAGTTTAGTTTCTTATCAGTTCTTCTCTGTGCCATTCCTAAAGGAGTTTTTTTTACTCAAAGGAATGGACGCAAGAATTTTACACAGTACATATTATTTTGTAATAAATATTTTATAGTATTTAATAGATTAATCTTCAAATCCACAGGTAACGGATCGCAGTTAACGAACGGTACACACGTTTAAATCTATATGTAGTTAATTAAAATTAGTTAGAAAAAATTCTGAATTAATTAGATCTCTCAAATATATGTAAATGTTATGTGAATTCATTCAACTAATTATAAATAAACAAATAGTGTATACAAATTATTTCATTGATGTTAATGAGGTATATGCTGGATATACAAGTAACTAGTACATAGCACAGATTTCGTATTGGGAAATATATTTAACAGACATTTCTTGTATTTTCTCTATAGTACCAAGCGAGCAAACAAGAGCAAATATAAATTTCATCAAAATTAGAACAGCCTTTTAATCATTCTATATAAATAGACGGACAAATTAGTGAATGTGTTCTAATTTTAAATTACTATATAGAGCAAGTTTTATGACGTTTCGTTAAACTTTTAATAAAATTCTAAATACTACACCTATATATGTAACCTTCATTATAAAGACCGTTTGAGTGCCAGATAAAACTGGCTATTTCTAAGATCTTGAAATTTTGCATAGAAAGCGTGTCAGTAATGAGGGTGAGTGCAAATGTTCTATAGACCTCCATTTCAGCTAATTGCTAAAAATACTTATCAATTTTAAACAAAATTTGTATTATGCTAATTAATTTTTTAATTGACTAAACTTATAATTTTTATGTTACTGTAATGATAGGCACCGTCAGCTTCTTTGTCATCACCTACTTCTTCCTTATCCTATTTATTTGTTATTTTACTTATATCTGAAATGGTGAATATAGTGAATTAAAAATTATCTCATCTAATGGTTATTGACTAAGTCATCTATATTCATGAACAGCAACACGGACATTACAACATCATGTCCGATTGATCACCAATCTATTTCAATTCAAATTCAATCGAAATTACGACGGCCTAAGCCGACATCCTAATGCCTAGTAGTGTTATTAGACTAAAGTCATATCCGTCAAGCAGAGCCTTTAGCCGCCCCATACTCCTTCCGCGGGTTGGTTTTCACCCCTTCGTATTAAGAAGTTGAGAATTATCCCAAAAAAGAACATTGGAGTGGTACCCTCCATGCATCATTCAGGATGACTTATCTCAACCTTTAATCGAAACAAATCTTACAATCCAAGTGGCTTGGCGGCTGAAATACGTGCGAGAGAAGCACCCCCGCAGACGACTTTTTAAATATATTTTTAATTGACCCTACCCTATTCACAAATGATTAAGTTATCGTTAATGCTATTATCCTTTGAGAATTTTACAAAGATGAGATCATTCAGGTGTACATAAATAAATTGAAATTGTCAAGAACTAAAGTGTCCTTTGAATTAATTTAAAATAAAATATATATCTATACAGTATTCAAATACTGTGAACTGTGGAGCTTCTCTTGATATTTGTTCATTTATTTCATTTTATACTAACTTTTAACCCTGTCTAACTATCTACTTTTTTTTTTAAATTTACTTTTTCTACTTTTTGCCCGGCCGTTCACTTGATACATTCATTCATTCAAAATTTAAGAGCCGTGCTCCAGTCGGTGGAGCTCTTGACATTTTGCACGATTTTCCATCAATCTTTATAGTTGTTGATACGACACGACTCCGACTTTTTCCTTGATCTGCTTGATATAGCTGTGTCTTATCTGTATCTTGGTCTTCCTCTTCCCATACCCACATGATAGAATCATCCACTATTAAAAAAATATATATTTCTAAATGCTTCTTCTCTATGTTTTAATGTCATAATAAACAGCTTACCCTACAGACAGTACTTGATACTGGAAATTCACTCTCGCTAGACACTCGCTAGTATAGTCACGTATTTTCATGATAAAATATAATTTCTCTACATAAAATATGCCGTAGAGTATATTCAGATTCCGCACAAATAATTCACAAAGTGTAAGCAAATGCAAAGGAATGACTTATATCTTTTTCGCTGAGTACTAGTATATCTTTTTGGAATATACGTACGTATAATAACATAAAGATAGATGCGAAATTCAAAGTAGTTTTGAGGTTAATTATGTAACTCTATTTCAATGTTTTTTTTATTGTAATGTAGGACAAGACCTATCTTAGTCCTCAGAAATGGAAACGCATGAGTGGTATCCCGGGTGTCACATGATAACGTGATGTCTGTAGTGCTGTTCATGGTATATAGGTTACAGCTTACCATCAGGTGACCACACCCTGTTTGCTTTCCATTTATATAACAAATAATTGTAATTTAAAGGTATCTACACGAATATGTATTTTTTAGCAACTAACTAAATGCGGTTTGGACTAATGTCAAATGCTAAGACTTATATAAACTGCTACCTATACAGATCTATTGTTATTCAAAGTTCGCTACGTAGAGCCGTGAGGGACAAGATTTGAAGGATATTCTTAGGAGCAATGGTTTTTATCTCCTCAGTATAAAGTGTATTTGAGAGAAATTATGAATATAATACTAGAGCGATAGAGTGGTGGAGCGAGGACATATGTACGTAGGGTTGTAAGTAATAACAGAACGAGAAGGATCGTACCCAGTAGCGTGCTTTGGGTGAGACCTCTTTCCAGCAGTGAACTGCAGTGGACTGATGATGATGATGAATATAGTATGTATCTGTATATGAAATGTACATTTGATTAAAACGAGACAATACTACTAGAACGAGTAAAGAGAATAATATAAAGAGATTCTTATATTTAATCTCTTTGTCTGTTCATTTGAAATATCATTAACCTGTAGACATTTTATTGAGTTTCTAAAGTATGTACATTTGATCACAGCATATACCTACTAATATTATAGTAGTTTTTTTTAATATTATTTTAATCGACGAACATCTGTGGATAAACGTCGAATGCTAAAATACTAAACAATATTAAAAAAATATATACTTTATTGTCTTATATAAAAAGTTGAAGTCACATAAAAAAAAATGTTAATTTACTTTATTATTAAGTATGAAATATATGCCTAATTTTATTAACTTAACTACTTATGTACCCTTCCTTATTTACTACTTGTGCACACAATCTGAAACCGCAGTATTCTACCATTATTTTTTTATATGAAAGCTATTTTTAAGAAAAGACATTATGGTCAGTTGTATACATTTATATATGTAAATATATAAAATATACATATATAATCAATTCCATAGCTAGAATGGATTTATTAGATGTTTCGTGGTTTATGAATCAGGAGAGGTTAGGTTTATTTTTGTAGAATTGTATTATATTTCTGTAATATAATTAGTATGCATAAAAATTCTTAATTTTGTATTTCCTAAAAAATAACTTTATACATTGATACATTGTATTTCTATTATGATTTGCCTTAAAAAGGCAAATTAATTAATGATTTCATTGTTAATTAAATTAAAGTTAACAACTTTTACATGTGTATATTACAATTGTAATATATGTTAAGCTAATATTACTGTTTAATAACGTCTAAAATTTATATAAATATATATAATGAATACGCTAATTTTGTATATCATTATGACGAATTTAGGAAATTTTGATCATAAAATAATAAAAAAAATTAACGTAATATTAACCAATTTATTATTCTCAATTCTACTGGTGATAAATTGATTCATTCTTTGTGAAAATATTCTTTCAATTCTTTATCAATGCGCACTTTAAATAAGAAAGTACATTGACTAAAAATTATACTATATATTGGTAAATACAATAAAAAAAAAATGTAAAATTATGAGACAGTAAAATATGCTCTTATTTTATAATTTTTTATGCATTTATATATAATTCGTTTTGTACTCATCATTAATCTTGTGGATATTAGGATAACTGCCATACCTTTCACAAAATTGGATAATAGAATTATTAACAATTACGTAATAAAGAATTACTGTAAACTAATTAAACTAATTGAGCCTAAAATGTTGAGCTTTAAGCGAGAAAGTCAAAGAATATTAGATATAAATAGATTTCTATTAAGATAATTGTGTAGATAAGTTTGTTTCTTAATTGTAGTCATAGTTTAATTCGTTTTTGATATAATCTCTATTGAAACATGAAATATTCTAAAAACTATCAATTTAATATAGAAATAATAAAGAAAGTGGTCTCTTGGATGGGCTTATTAACGAAAAGATAACATTTTATTTGAATTATGTATCCAAATTTTATTTCGTCTGGGTTTGTTCATTGACTTTTGACCATCATTATTAGCGCCAATATCGCTAGAAGGTAAGCGAATGAATTCGCAACTGAAAACAATAGATACACATAGTTATTACGAGTATAAGTCTATCATTGCACTACAAAACTTTAGAAGAAAGAGTATACTATACAGTAAAGTACATTCACGTTACAATACAATAAATAATTAAAGCAGAGACTACAGTGACTAGGTACAAGATAATGCAGTATTGCTATCTCTTACTGCTTACTAGACTGTGTATAAAAATATCTGTTATCTACATTAGATTGTTGGAGATAAATAACTAAAATGAATTTCGTTCGATATTAATGAGTATTTTTTTCATTTATAAAATCATGTTATTTTTAATCAATAAACTACTGTTTTAATTGTACACTAATTCAGTCAGATTTTTATTAGGTATGTTTTATTAAATAGTGATATTGTTTTGTTTTATTGAATTTCAATGCTTAAAAGTTGAAAAGTGCACTAATATGAACTTAGTGCAGTTTTTATAAATGCTTAGATATAAATATTAGTATGTAGGTTAAAATTTGTGTAAATTTACTTTTATCTGAGACTGAAATTGTAAAAATCTTTTAGTGTGTAATCAGGCTGTAATCAAAATATGTGTTATATTGTATCACTAAACTGATATAAAAATAAAGTTGAAATAATAATATATTTGTTTTATTATACATACAGTTGTTTCTTCTTCTTTAAGTTAAAATATAGTCTTTACCCGTTCTCAAGACGTCAAATTTAATTTTTGGTTTTAGTCGAGAGTTTTCACTATTTTACATATAAAAAAACAGATACACAAATCCACTTTCATATTTATTATACCTGTTAATTTGCTTGATTTCGTTTTTGGATTTTACTTAATTATATAAAAATTATAAATTGTACATTACTTTATAGGCATAAATACAAGATTTTTTTTAATATAATTACGTACTTCAATGAAATTTAA